TCGCAAGATTTTATCAAGTTTTAGGCAAGATCTGATACTGGTCGTGGTACAAAGATTCAGTCAACTATTGCAGCAAAAACTGATGAGGTTCTCAAAACAAAGCCAACAAGAGGGTGTATCAGTGGCGGTGCTAGTAAACTAACGTAAGTAGAACTCCTGTTCACAACTAGCGGGTGTCCCAGATTAAATGGAGCTCTCAGTATTTTGCATATTTTTCATTTATATTTCGGTATGGAAAAAAAAATTTATAAGTAGATTCCTTGTCAAATTCTCTACAAAACGAAGACATTTTGGGTGTGAGTGGGGTGTGGGTGTGGGTGTGGGTGTAAGTATGGGTTTGGGGTGGGTGTGGCTGTGGATGGGTGTGGGGTGTGACTGTTGGTGGATGCCGGTGTGGGTGTGGCTTTGGGTGTTCTTCTATCTCTTCAGACCCACACCCAGCTCATATTATAAATTTGTTTGTTTCTCAATGAAAGTGATCATTTGACCTGAACATAATCGACCTTCTTGCTCATTAGTACAAACCCTTACATTGTTAGACTTTTCTCTGTATATTGAACTATCAAATAGACAAGAACTTTTGGTTAAATTTATTGATGAGAGATAAATTCCGATTGAATAACACGATGGTTTTTTCTCAAACCAAGTGCTAAGGTCTTTTTGAAACATCTCTCTCTCTGTGAAACTACGATCGAAGGTTTTTTTGCGAACTAAAAATGTTTCTCTGTATATATCTCGATGAAAAATTTCTTGTACCTGTACAAGATTTGTTCGAATATTTCCGGCAGAGTGAACTAGTAGTTCTTATAAACCATATCAATGATGTATAAAATTTACTTGGAGAAAGAGATTTATAAATTTGATAATTCTTTCATCGAATAAATCCGTACGTCAAATATAAATAATCCGAAAGCATTATTCTATTAAATATACGGGTCAATACTTTGATATCATTTCACTATACGAATACAAAATAAATCTTATCTCAAAATAAATACTAAGTCCTCTAAGTTTTACATATAGTTTTCGACAATCGAAAATCAAATCTCGTTGTAATTAATTCAATGGAACATTTGAAAACATCATCAAATCAAAGTTTAAATCACGAATATACTTTATGTGTTTTTGGTGAAGGTGCTGTTGGAAAAACTTCTCTTGTAAATTAAAATAATTATTCAGTATGAAATTAAATTTTTTTTGTTTTAGACAACACAATTTGTGGAAGGTGTTTTTACGAGTAAATATCATACAACTATTGAAGATGTTTTTAAAAAAGTATTTTTTATGGAAAATTAAATGAAATGAATATTGAAGAATTATTTAGACTATTGAGGTTGATGGAAAACGATTTATTCTCGAAATTGTTGATACAGCTGGAACAGTATGTTATTAAATAAAGTTTCATTTAAAAACAAAGAGATTTTCATAGGAAAACTTTACAGCAATGCGTGATTTAAATATACAACATAGTCAAGGTTTTGCTATTGTGTATTCAATAACATCACAAGCAACATTTGATCATCTTCATTATATTTATAATCAAATTATGAATATTAAAGTAACGATTTATATTGAATAAATAATTAATAATTTTATATGTATAGAAAGAACAACCAGCAATGGTACTTGTTGGAAATAAAATTGATTTATCTGGTATGAAAAGAGCTGTTCATAGAGAAAAAGGTCAAGCATTAGCTGATGAATGGAAGTGTTCTTTTTATGAGACATCAGCGAAAGATTCGATTAATGTTCATGAAGTTATTATTTACAAAATAAAACATTTCAAATATAAGTTTCTTTTTATTTAGATCTTCATTGATTTAATAAGACAGATTGATCGTCGAACATCATGTACAAGAAAAACATCAATATTCGAAGATATACCTTTATTGACTAATTCACTAATTGAAAACATTTTTTGTTGTCTAATTGTTCCTCGAAAAAAAAAAGCAAAAGAAATCATGAAATAATAAATTACTATATCGTTGAAAATGAATTTGAGTTCAGTTTAGCCCTTTCAAGGTTATATTTAGAAAATCAGCTTTAATGTAAAAATAACACAGATACGATGTCTAGGTATTATTTTCTATTTGCTAAGGATGTGTTCAGTCAGAAAATTTATTGTATAACTTTGAATTATTCGAAAATCCTTCATCCTGTAGCTTGAATATTTGCATTGGTGATTATAATATTATAAAGTAGTTCTTCAGATTTGAATTAGATTGCTATAGAGAAATGGCAATCAATGGTTTAAATAACGACACACAAATCTTTTTCTTTTAGGAAAAAATGAATGCAGCCAACATAAATAATTCTCTTTGATTATTTCCTGATGGATTAAAAAGTGATAAACTTTCATTTTTCAATAGTTATCATAATACAATTCTTCTCCCACGAAACTTTTCATGTAATAATATTTATTGTTATTATGGATATGATTTATTATATTTTCTTTTTAAACGATAGTAATTTCGATAAAATTAATCAAAGAGAAGACTTTCGACAAATAAAAAAGGTTAATACTGACTGATGCAATTCATTTAATGAAGTAATCATCTTCTACAGGTACCAGAGACGTGCACCGCACCTGAAAAACGAGGTGCGGACGGCGGAAAAGATGACGTAAGATATGAAATAGTGACGGCGGCGGTCACTGCACCAAAATCCTTTTTGCAAGCAGACGGACTGCTCTGCACCTGTGTCAAGTGAGACGGACGGCCCGTCCGTACCTCCATGCGGCCGTCCGACGGCCGTTCGCTTGATTTCTATTGGGTGTGAACATTATAAACGTAGTTTTTCAAGATGAGGGTTCGCACATCATATCTGGTATGGTGAGCACAGGATTATAATCAAACCATACTATATTCAAGGATGGGTGTGGGTGCGGGGGATGCTATCAAGATAGATATTGACACCCACCCCTACACCCAAGAT